CTCGAACCTGCAACCTTCCAATTACAAGGCGAACTCCTAACTCTTGAGCCACGATCGCCCCATGACTCAGTAATGCACTACAACATTGTTATTGTTAATTGTGATCCATCGTTACTCTGTTAATCATTGAGTTGAGGTAAAGTAGATCAATAATAAAAGGTAAATAATATAAATATAAGAATAAAACCCCAAAGAGTATATTTAACACCCCTACTGGTTAGGAGGGAACAAGCCCCGCCTTCCCCTGCTCTGTACCGTCACATGTAGTGATGGTAAATTCAATTCTTTTTACTGAATCGAGTTTCAATGAGTCACTCACCAAAGTGAATCGGGTCTTATGAGTGATTTGAGTCACTGAGTCAGGTGCCCAGAGAGAGCAAAGGATGTACATTTTCACTCAAACTTAATATATTTCTTTTTTCATGTATATCCTACTGCTAAGATGAGTGATTGAAAAAGAAAAACAACTATTTTTATGGAGCAAAATAGAGCAAAAAAAAGATTTCTAAAGGGAACATTTTTTTTTTTTTTTTTAATTTTATGTGTCAAATATATATTTTTATGTATATTTAAACGTCCACTGAGCTGTGAGCCAGGGGGCGGTAATGCACCTTAACATTGGTTGCCAACTCACCCCTGTAGCTGTGTCCCAAAACGTCAGCTGCATCCTTCGGAGGCCGCATTTGAAGCATTTGAAAGCCAATTACATCACAGCCAGGCAACAAAGGCTGTCCCAATTCGTCGACTCCTTCAAATGCAGCTGGCATTCGTTCATGCTACAATTCAGCACAGCAAGAAAAGGAGAGGGTGAGTGAGTGATTTGCGTAAGTCAGGATGGCAGGATGGCCGAGCAGTTTAAGGCGCTCCGTTCAGGTTGCAATCTCTCCCAGAGGCGTCGGTTCAGATCCCCACTCCTGACATCCCTTGCTTATTAAAAGTAAGACTGAAATGTCATGTTATGTGATGTCATCCTTCGATAAAGGAGTTGCCACCAAATGGTCACATTCATTTATCAGATAGTTGAAGAAAAGTCTAATCAAAGTGACTTCTTGAATCTCAGCTGAATATGTGTTGGTAAAGCAGAGGTGTAATAGTCTGCCAATCTGATCAGTTGTAAAGGTGTCTTGATCTTCTAGCCTGTCATGTGGATTCTGTATTAACAAGTGCAAATGTGTCAGGATGGCCGAGCGGTCTAAGGCGCTGCGTTCAGGTCGCAGTTTCTCCTGGAGGGGTGGGTTCAAATCCCACTCCTGACATTACTAGCTCATTAAACGTAAGAATGACATGTTATGTGATGTCTTCTGTCAATAAAGGAGTTGCCACCAAATGGCATACTGCTTTGATAAGCTATTAACTTGAAATCTGATTTAGTTAGTGTCGGCGGTGCTGTAGTGCAGGTCACCTACCAGGTTGGTGATGGGATCCTTTAATCTACATGACAAATATCCTTGTGCAAGATACTGACCTCAAGTACCTCTCTCTCATGCGTCTACCGGAGTCCGAATGTTTTGCAAAATCAATTGTTCCACACAGCCAATTCACTGCAGATACAGACTGCTCCGTTACATCTATGTCCACTGTGAATGACCATCTTTGAACAGAGGTGGTGGCATAGGGCACCAACTGTCTGACATCTATAGTCCAGTGTTGAGATACCTTCCCAGAAGCCTTAACGCCCACTCACATCCTGGGCCATTTGACCTCAGGAAATCACATGATAGGTTGGGGCTAGGTTTCACAATGAGCTCACCCGAATCCTTGGTTGCTTGTGACCTACACCCGTTTTCACACTTTGGCTCGTGTCATTAGGGAGAGGATCATTAGAGGGTCCATAGTCCGTCTTGGGCAGACACTCCCACAGGCCTTAAATCTGGGACACTCCACCATTTGACCCTAGAACTGAAGAAATTTCTCGGATGAGAGGTGAAACGTCTTCAAGCAACTTAAAGAAGTTTAAAGAAGTTTCCAAGCTCCTTAGACTACAATGACCTGGATGACAGAACCTTCACAGACATCCATTACAAGTTCCTTCACCAACTGGATCTCAGCCTGCAAAAATACATAGCTCTAAACCTCAAATCTCACAAATGTGCTTTAGATGTGAAGTAGAAGTCAGTTCCTTTCTGTACTGCAACTTGGTCACGTTCATTTATCAGATAGTTGAAGAAAAGTCTCACCACTCATCAAAGTGACTTCTTGAATCTCAGCTGAATATGTGTTGGTAAAGAAGAGGTGTAATAGTCTGCCAATCTGATCAGTTGTAAAGGTGTCTTGATCTGCTAGCCTGTCATGTGGATTCTGTATCAACAAGTGCAAATGTGTCAGGATGGCCGAGCGGTCTAAGGCGCTGCGTTCAGGTCGCAGTCTCTCCTGGAGGCGTGGGTTCAAATCCCATTCCTGACATTGCTAGCTCATTAAACGAAAGACTGAAATGTTATGTGATACCTTCCTTCAATAAACGAGTTACCACCAAATGGCAATTGCTTTGATAAGCTATGAACTTGAAATCTGATTCAGTTAGTGTTGGGGGTTCCGTAGTGGAACCCCCAACACCTACCAGGTTGGTGATGGGATGCTTTAATCTACATGCCAAATATCCTTGTGCAAGATACAAGGATATTTGGGCCCCACTGAGATTTGAACTCGGATTACTGGATTCAAAGTCCACAATGCTAGCCATTACACCATGGGACCCACGAAGTAAAGGGTTTACTGGAAGATTTGGACGAAAACTTTTCTTTATCGAAGATAAAATCCAACTGTCAGGAGTTGGATTTGAACTCCAACTTTAACACAGTGCCTTAGAACACTTGGCCATCCTAACTAAACAAAAAAAAAAGCATTCGAATGAGCTTATGCCTAAGACTGAACAATTCACAAAACAGCTTAAGTCGAGAAGGTAACAGCCAACAGCTAGTGAAGATGTTACCTTTGTTCAAGATATTGTAGAGGAAACAGTTTTATTTTATGACAGTAAGTGTTTGAATGACATGTAATACTCATACTCATGCTAAAATACCTCTATACAACTGCTGTCAGTGAATACTAGCTCAGGACTAGAATACAACTGTCATTGGACGTTTTATGGTAATAACAAGTGGATCCTCTCACCACCTAAATGAATCAACTGCCACTGAACATGTAGCAGGTGATGTGAAGAAGGAAAGGAAAGTTAACAAATAACATGCATGAGGTCCCACAGAGATTTGAACTCAGATCAGTCGATTCAAAGTCCAGAGTGCTAATCATTACACCATGGGACCCACACCATAAAGGGTTTACACACAGATTTTGGAAGCCACACAATGTGATCTCATCAAATGAAATTCTGCATAACACTGTAAGATGCTTTGGATGAAAGCAAACTAAAACACTCTAGTTTTAATAAGTGATTAAAATATATTTTAATGGTAAAATGCTTATATAGTATTTTTGTTGTCTTTTTTTCTTTTTTTCAATGTAGCAATCAGAAATATTGTCAGAAGGCAAAACAAAAGGCCCAACAGATTTGCCAAGTGGACCATTACGGCTTTTGTTATAGTGGTCCACTTTATAGTCATATTTTATTAGAATTTGATTAGGATTTTTTTTATTTTGAGTTAGTAGACTCAGAACAGACAAGATGGAGGGAACAGGGGAGAAGAAAGAAAGAGGGGAGTGGAGTTGAGGAGAAAGTTAACAGAAGAAGAGGGAGATAAAAATAGAAAAGAAGAGAGAGAAAAAACACTGAGCAGCACACAGTATTAATGATACATGTTTAGAGGCAGCAGCCGACCAAGATAGTGTGTCTGTGGGTACCTGTTTGTACACTTGTGTGTGTGAGCACACTTGTGTTCATTAGGTTACTCAATTTAACTATTTAACAGGTAGGTGTGGGGAGCCACAGCCTGCTCCCAAAGACATGAAGCAGGCATGGAGGAGACCTGGGCCCCAAATGTCCAGAGGCCCCCCAGAGCATGAGAGCCCCTTTGAACAGAGAGCCAAGGAGAGCCCTAGACAGGATTCACACAGCAGCCAATGTGCAGAGCTGTCAACACTGACAGTGAAGCAATCTTCTGAGTGCTTAGTATTAGGGTTTTATCATTGTGTTTTTGAAGGAGATTAGTCCTCGGCACTGTACTTCCATGTGTCCTACACAGTGCATTGCTCTCCGATTTTGCTACCAACCTTCTGATATTGTACACAGATCTTTACTTTATTTTCAGAAAAGCTCATTTATATATGTTTGGTTTAACGCAACAACAGGAGTGTGCCTTGAACCCACACCTCCAGGGGAGAGTGCACCCTTAACACAGCATCTTAGACCTCTCACATGATGGCATGGACTCTGATTGTTTGGAAATACTGCCACACTGTGGAAGCCTGACAACATAATTTCACATGAATCATAAAACAGAATAAAATCTGACATATTACCTTAAACAATTTTTTAATGGTAACATTAATAATGGCAAATGAACAGAAGTCAGCACTGATTGTAATAGCACTGTTCAAAGAATGACAAAAATGTCCCAAGTGTTGTATTTATTATGTTATTGATATTTTAATACGTTTAGTTTGTAAATATGTATTAAAACACTATTATACCTCTTTCGATTTCTGAAGTGTAATTACTGCAACTTTAGGCTGTATAGTTTAAAGCAAGTTATAACTACTCAGGTCACTATATGGCTTCTGTTTTACCACATATAATGAGGTTTCCTCTAAGCAAACAAAATATAACGCTCAGCTGTATCCTTTCAGCATTTTAGCTCCATAACAACAAACTCCAACAGGTGTCTCCTTGTCTTGAGATGAAGAACGGGTGATGAACCCCTGCATCCTCTGAATCTCAATTAGTCCACAGATATCCCTTCATCCGTTTTTTTCCACAGAACCTGAAGATCACAGAGAAGGATGTTGGCTTTGATGCAGGATCGTGCTGGAAATGTTCAAACAGACAGACCTGCAGTTTGCTCACCTGTTTCATTTCCATGGTGACAGCTGATAAAAGAGGACACAATATCACATGCTACACAGAACTAACACATGATTAAACTGTTATTTTAGAATGGTCTTAGTGGTTTTTGGACTAACCTGCCCAGCAAAAAGAGGGTAACATCAAAGGAGCGTCGACAGACACACCACGGAGCAGCTCAGCCAGCCAGGACACCTCAGCTGGATCATCAACAAACAACTCCTCTGATTCGTCCAACCACAGCTCAGACTCTGGCATCAGTATAAACAAAGAACTGATTTTGAGTTCAAGGCAAAAGTACGACAGGTAAGTTAAGAAAGTAGTTCTGCGTTCATTTGCCTAATGAGCTTTTAAACTTTCCCTCTTGGTCACTTCAGCAACATCAGCTGTTTTCTTCCTTAATTAATTAGGTCTGCAGACCTACTGTTGTAAACCATTGCTGGGTAGAATTAAACGTGTTTTTACCAGTTTCCAAACATAAATGCACAATTTGTTTGAGAGGCAAATGTTGCACCATCTACACAATCATTTCCTCCCAATAGCAGACCTGTTGTAGAGCCTCCGTCCTCTTCCTTTTCCTCTTTAAACCAGGCAGTAGCTGTTTCCAGAGCATCACTGCAGTCGGACATTGAAGATGTGAGGTTGCTGCACTGGAGACTCTTTCTTAGGCACGCTGTGTCGCAGATGTAGGCTTCTTTGGCTAAAGATAGACAGAAAAGAGAACACCTTTGGAGTGTGACTGTGTAAGAGACTGTGATCTCAAATCTTTTAAAATCACTTAAAAGACTTATTGTTATTATTATTACATGATATTGGTTTCAGACCAAGACAACTGACTCAGTCGTGTCTTAGATAGGTTGTGGTAAAGTAAAGCCTTACGTACTACCCATGTTTTCCAGCTGTTGGATGGAACTGACTGCATCTCTGATGTTCATGTGGAGTTGGTGACTGTCACGGAGGTGCCTCAGGATGTGTTTAGAGTGGAAAGCTGATTTAGTGTAATAAACCAGCTTAGGAAGGCACAAAGAGCCCACAGCAGTGATTTCAAACCTGTTGCCCTGAAAAGTAAGAGCCATACATAAAGAGGATGATCTCGTGTGTTACGGTTAAAGCTACACGCAGGTCAATGTGACCTGTATTGTATGTATATTTTGATTATAGTCCAGTCTTTAGAACCTAACCTGAAAGGTGAAGCGATCAATACCTGTCCAGGAGAAATCGTACAACAAAGATTGTTTCCCTTCCACCTCCTTAAAAACACAAATTCAGATCAAGAATCTATATGTACATGTGAAAATAAGTTCATAAACTTTATTTAAAATTATGTGTGAGACTGTCATTGAAAACGACTCACCTGGCAAATATGGACTCCTTTCACTGTCACACCGAGGAGGATTAAACTCCTCGGCTGTTTGTCCTCCTGTGTGTAAAATAATAGTTGATAAAGCAGTTTTTTTGTTGTTGTTTTTTTAAAGCCATGGGCTCACATAACAAACATGACTCAAAAAGAGTTCTCTAAAATGACCAAGGGAGACAAATAATACAAGAGCATGGCAAAGGATTATTACTGGGGCTTTTTACGAGATCTGTAACAGTTTTCACACCCTGTAAGATATTTTTCTGAAGATTTTCTGAAATGTACGCGTTTATGGAGTGTCTGATATATGTGACCTCTTTTCCTTTTTCTTTTAACTGCCTGGTAGCTCCATATTCAACATCTCAGGACAGAAGTTTCTTAGTTAGTCTCTCTTAAACTAATTAAGAAACAGACATCCTCACACAGAGTTCGCCCTTGTTTAACTGTAACACTGTCTGACCTCTCTCATCCTGTAGAATGTGACAGGTCCATCCTGCAGCTCGTTGGCTTCCTTTATAAAGTGCAGGATGGCTTGCCTGCGGGACACCCCCCTCAGCTCACCATGCAGCACTGGGCTGTGCTGAAGTAAGTACTCTCTCCCTCTGCGCTTTATGAGCTGAGAAGATGAACACACAGATATATATATATAAGAGTATTTCTGTCAAGGTTAGACTACACTTCTTTTTCTTTCTTTTTTTTTTACCCATGAGGGGAAGTAATCTTCAGGGAGAAAGTAGCATCTGTGTTTTTTCTCCTGCTTCTTCTCTTCTCCGTCTTCCTCAGTCTCCTCTCCCTGTGCCAGATCGCCAACGTCAGCTTGGAGGGCAGAGGCTGCCAGCTGGAAGAACAAAGCCTCCTGATGGTGGCTCTGTGAACGCAGCACCTTCTGCCTCAGCTCAGTGTAGTAGAGCTGCTGCACTGTGGTGCTCCTGCAAGAAACAGGGAGGTTTTCTTTTCCTGTTATGAAGTCTGTCAGGTGTCTACTTTTCCACAAACATTTTCATAAACTTTAACAACACTTATAGTGGAAATTATTAATCTTGGAAAAAGAAGGTAATGGAAAACAAACTTACAAAATTAGCAGCCCACTTTCTACATAATACTGGACTCTTAGAAATAAGATAAACGGGACCTAGAAAGGTGGGATGAATAAAGAGAGTACTCAGTTTATCGTTTCTGCTATCACACAGTCTAGTTAATATTTGACCAATATGATAAATCATTAAAAAAAGAAAACGTGGACATAAAAGAACTTTTAAAATAAGCCAGATCTTTCTAACATGTTTGACATGTTAGTCGTCCATTGGTGGACTTTATCTGGATACAGTGTTTTCACTGGGAGAAACATCTTAGTACTCATACAAGCAACGCCTTCAGTCTTATCTGTTGCAGGTTTCCCCAGTCTTGTAAACAGCAAAGTTGCACAACTACTGAAATCAGCACCAGTGCATAACAATGAGCCACAAGATCTACTTGAGATCATTGATATGCAAATCATCATGACTGCCAATTAAACCAGGAAAACATGAAATTTTACGTGAGATCACTAAATTCAGCTTTTAGAGTGTTCCCATTACAGCATGGAGCTGTTTGTAGATCTGGTGATTTCTGTTTCAACAGTGCAAACACTACACCAAAAAAAGAAATGGAAAACTAACCATTACATATCCTTTGTTCCATCGTTTCCCAAAGTACTTGCTCAGCTTTTGGTCCAAATCAAGAAACAGGTAATCATTATCTTAAAAAAAGGAGAAAAAAAAAAAGCACACATTCAATCAGAGATGTCAGGCTCAGTTTAGGGTCTACATACAGCTCAGTTTCACACCATGTGGCCCAGAAAAGTATAAATATTGACTAACAACCTAGCAGTACAAAGGCCTTTTATTTCCATTGCATTTGCTCTGAAGAAGAACAAATACATTTTTAAAACATTCACACTTATGGGATCACAAACTAGCTGGTGTGTCTTAGATAGTGAGCGCAATTTGAACAACATGTCTCAGTTTTTCCACATTCAATAAATCTGCTGTCATTAAAAAGAACTGCAACTGTCTTAATCAAAGAACCGCATCTATGAACAGCCATGAAACTGACCATATTTCACACTTCTCGGTAGGGCGGCAAAATTAACAGTTGAGGTAGGTTTGCTCCTGACACAACACTTCATGCTGCACAGGAAAGAGTGGAAAAATAGGAAGAAAAAATTCGACATAACTTGCACGCTCAAGTAAAATAACTCAGTTTTGGCCATATTTGTCCTGCAAACCATATGTTTGACAGCGCTGCATGAAATCAACACAATGAGTCCATTTAACACGTGTTATCCCTTAGTTATGTTGTTTACGGCTGATAGGAGATGGCTTTCCATTTATCATATCTTACAGCAGGTTCACTCACTATCAGCAGCCTCCCAGAATCTCAGCGTTCCACAGTTAATGAATAAAAAACATTTGCTCCTGAACTCCCGCGCAGAAACTAACTGCCCTTTCATAACAGCTAGACCAAACACTTGAAGATCACTGACACCAAGATGCTTCAACACACTGTTCAACACCTCACGGCCTCTGGCTTTTACCTATAAACACACAGGAAGAAGAAAAAAGAAAACATAAAACATACTGAGAGTCCATGCTTTCAGTGTTTTGGCTTTCTTGCAAATATGTTTTTTTCTAATAAAATACAGTTTTAGCTCTTCCACTGTTTTAAAAATAAATATACCCTACTGACAGATCAATGCAATCTTAACATGAATGTAATTTAGGTTTCTGTGTGCCCATGTGACGTGTCACAGTAAAATACCAAACAAGAAAATATGCTACAGAAAGGCCCTGTGGTCACTCACCGTGACAGCACAATCCAGGTGCTGCTTGTTCGGTAGAAGAACGCACACCTGTCGCCTCTGTTTGGTCCTCATTGCCACTAAGGCTTCGCATGGTCTCGATCCACTATATATCCTCCTCACAGCCTCCCATGGGCCTAACAAAGCAAGCCTCCCTCCTTCCTCAGCCTGACACATAATGATGTCTGTACAAACAGACAGATGCATCAAAAGTTGCCACATTACCAGATCTGCAACCAGAGAATTTAATGTATTTAGCAGTTTGATCTCTTTAAAAATAAATAAACAAAATTAGCTCTAATGTGCTAATAATGTGTTTGCATCATTTGATCGCCTTTACTTCTTTTGGACATACTGGGAGTTATTTTCACTCCAAATACTACAGAAAACTGGAAGATATTAATGTTTTGCAGAGAGAAATTGTCATGTCAGAAGCAGCTGTTAGAAGTACAGTAATGAACAATAACCTACCACCTACAGTTAACTGTGTCTGCTTGTTTATCTTTGGGTTTATGTTCCCGTATGTACTGAATATATTCAGCTTTTTAAAATCTGTCCTGGTAATAATAGTTTGTTCTACAAGCTACTGAGTGATGGGATGTACTTAGTGTTTCATGCACAGTGTAATAATTCACGCTGTTGTTCATCTGAGGTTGTATTTAAATAATTGACCTGTTGAACTTTGAAACTGAAATATGGTGTATTCTCTCTTTAACATGACTATAGTTTATTCTTATTTAATTTTTCATTGCAGTTACCATTCCTAACTCACTTTTATTTAAGCATTAGTTAACTATAATAACCTTTTACCCCTTTCACACACCAGAAAAATAATCACAAAATGCTTTTTAGATATAATAGATATAAAAAAGGCAACACCATCACTAATCTATCATTAATTTATTTAAAAACAAAATCTAACAATGCCAATTGTGCTTTGCTTCGATAAAGCAAAAAGAAAAGTGACATATTTTTAGTAGCTGGTGATCCTAACATGTTCTCTCAACTTGTGTATTTTTTTTTCCAAGTTACCATATACAGTGTTCTTTTGGATTCCCAAAATTATTAACATGCACAAAAAAAAACAAACAAGAAAAACAAACAACAAAAGAATACTACAGTGCATTAAAAAGGCACCTGCTTCCCAGATACAGGCATTTATCCTACGTTATACAGAGTAGTGGGATGTGGTTAATGCAACTTCAGTATCCCACAAGCAGTTCATTAAAAACTATAAATCTGTACCACGTCCATCGAGTATTCGACAATACCACAATGACCTTTTTAGATAACATTCAAGAGGTAACACAATTAATCTTCTACACATACAGCTCGCTTTCATCAACACAACTTACACGACATACACAGCGGTAAGGCTGTAAAAGACCATTATTATCAGGTTGAGCAGAGTTCACATTGAAGTGCCGATGATTAAAGGCGACCAGAGGAAACATGCAGTACAGTACGTATAGTGGTTGGATCATGGCAGATGGGTCCCCTGGTGAGGAGACTTGTACAGACCGAGGGCTCAGAAATGCTAGAAAGCTCGTGACACTCTCAGAGCACATTCTTGTTGCAGTAACATACTCTTCTGTTCTTCCACATGCTTTAGGTGTCTTTCACCAATATGTAACTTTTTTTCACTTACAAGTTTAGAAAAATATGAAAAATAAACATTACAATGACCTGTAACAAGAAGTGTTGAACTATCACACGTATTTCCCAATATAAATATTTATTTAAAGGACCCAATTCTTGTATTGCCCTGACGCATCAACAATGTCCTCACGATCATTCAATAATGATGGCAATTCATTACGCTTCCTTTCAAACTTGCTGCTTCCTCTTTTTCTTGCCATCAAGAAGAGGAGCGGTGTACGTTTATATTCATGTTCACTGCAAACTGAAACTGAAAGACACACTAAATATTGACTTGATCGACTTTGTGTTATCAAGTTACTTTACAACATAATTAGAAACTCACAGCCAAATGCACAATGCTGTGTTGTTTCACCATCGTACTTTAACTTCAGCCACTCTGCTTTTTGTTCATGTTTTTAAAATTTCACAGTCAGGCATAATCTGACTTTTTGATTCCAACACTGAAACACTTAAATGTGTAAATGCAACTATAACAATAACAATAATAGAAGAAGAATAGGTAATATCTAGTTACTAGAGTAAACTCTATCATAATGTCAGTGTAAGATTGATTTTATTAAAGAATGTAACTAATGATGGAATTTAAAATTCCATTGCTATATCTAACATGAAAGAAGAATAATTTAACCCGGAGGTTTTGGATGACTGCATTTTTTTCTGTTTCCTGTTTGTTTTTGACCTTACAGAGGTCTGTAAAGAGAACACTATACTGCACTCATAATTAGCCAACTGTTCAAAAGAACTGCACTATTTTACCACACTATGCAGCAATTTCAACTCACAAATGCCCAACTATTGCTCTTTCAGCAGCAATGCTATAAAGGCTATACAGCGTGTTTATGATAGAAGAAGAAAAAAAAAAAAAAGAGGTGGTAATCCCAAATATCTGCTTTTCCTGAAAGGCATGTCACAGAGTGTCTGAGCGTGTTGTTATTAGAATAAAAGTGGGTGTGATGGCTGGTATTCATTACTTTAAGTGCTGTGCTGTGTAACATTCATCGAAAAGTGAGGTGTTCTGCAAAAAGAAAAGAGATCAAAGTCACTTTTCATATGAAAAGTTTAAGTGAATGCACTTAGATATTAGTGGTTTGAATGCACTTAACTGTAGGTGGACATTGTTTTAGGCCTTGACTACGCCAGACTTTCAACAGGTACATATTGCATTCGCTAAGTAAATATTGTTCATGGGCCAAACTGCACACTGATTGTTTTTATCTAAAAAAAACAAACAAAAAAAAACAACAACTAGAAATAACTGACCTTCACCGTATGGAGATTTAAATTCATACATTTTGCCACTGAAACCTTGGATATGTACACAATTTGCAGGTGCACTGTATCTCTCTGAGTACAGCGAACTCTTCTCTTTAATTACACCAGAGTGTAATAATTTCAGTGCACTATAAATGAAGTTGTTCTACGTTCTATGTACAGGCAACACATTTTAAACTGTAAGATATTAGAGTGCACTGGAGAGAATACGGCAACTTTATAAACAAGCACAAAGAGTTAACATAAAAATGCCTCTGTTGTTGGTTATGTTTACAGTTATTTTATATGCATATTTTACTTGTTCACTTGTATAGACAAAAGGCAGCTTTGCTTTGTTCAGACTGCACGGTTAAATTATTTTTTCCCATATTAAAACCTTTTGACTTCTGCAAAGTTCACAACGAACGATTCCTAGAGGGACCCCTTCAATGCACGTGTTAAATCAACTGCGCGGTTCTAACACAGGAAGTCAGAGACTGAAACAAAAAGAAAAGAAAAAAAAAAGAAGAAAGGGAAGACTGGCTTCAAGTCTCTTCCGACTACAGCTGATAGTTAGCTGCTTTTACGTGAAGGCACTTCCTGGTAAAGCTTTCCACAGAGTAGCACCTGGGACTGTTTAGAAGTAACCAGTAGAAGCCCTTTATTGGAAGGAGCCTGGGGTCCGAGCTGGGTGACGCGCGTCGCGGTCACAGCAGAGTGAAACCTAAGATGTACTGCAGGAGTTTGTTCCGATTTTCCTGAGGTAGAAAGGTGCCGCTTAGCTCCAGAGTTGTCACCTTGTTTTCTCTCCTCTCCTTTAGGACCTGGAGAATAAACAGAAAACAGGAGGTTTAGCTGGAGGACTCTGCACATCACCCAAATACACACATACAAATGCACACATGCTTACCCCGAGCTCCTTGAATGTCCTCACGGTGTTCTTAACCAGATAATGAGTTGCACTTTCACCTGAATGAAAAGAGAAGTGCTTGAAATACATAAAACAGAGACAGGATCTTACTTTTAAAATTTTTCACTAGCTAAATCCTTCTTTAATCTGATAGTAATCTCTTATTTTTCATGTGAATACTACTTATACTTTTGGACTTTATTCCCAGCACCTAAAAAAAAAATCATGACTGGAAAAACCATTTTCTCATTTTTAGCAATTTTCTCAATTCCAAGTGCGATGTAACACTAGGGAAGTTTTAAATTATTTTTTAAATACATTGTGCAGTATGTGGGCGATATTAGGATATTACCATAACCAGCCACTCCTCTTTCTGTGCGTGTGAGCAGGTATCTGAAGAGCCTCTGGGTGTAGTCGGACTCGACCATGGGCTGGCTCAGACTGTGGACGAAGATCGCAGCCCCACTGTAGGCCTCCAGCACCGGGCTGAGCAGCCGCTGAAGGAAGACAAAGAACTCCTGGTGCTCTGCAGAAACACTCACCTGAAAGACAACACAAACAGACCAAAAGTCAAATAAAGTCATTTTTGATGGTGAACAGTGGATGTTTGGATGTGAATGCTGTGGCGATTGTGTTGGCTGCAAAATTCCAAATTGTCTAAGTATACCTTAAGGTAGCGATCTCTCTGCTCCTCTCCAAAATCGCTGTCCTCATCCTCTTCGTCACTTCTCCAGGAAAGGGGCTCAGCAAACTTTTTGGGCCACGGCTCATCTGTGGGGCTTGGGCTCAGTTCCTCCTGGTCCTCCTGACGCACAAAAACAGATCAGAGGATCTGAAAGTTTCATTACCCAATAGCAACTATCGCTAAGAGTCCTTCCCAAAACATTCAACTTCTGACATTAACCGCCATGATCTGTTATTTTTGTCCAGCGGCTGACGGCCTGTAAACTCACCTCTGCCACATAAAGAACTCCATACTGGATCAGCCTGGTTACTGTGTCATGGAAAACCTGGTAAATAGTCTGGCAAGGCTGTGGGACAGACAGGAGAGATGTAGACACGCTAAAACATGAAACCACATAGGAGTTGAAAATGTAATTTTATAAACAACTACTTGTCAACAAACTTGTTCCATCATTACTAGTGTAAACTAATATGCAAACATTGTAAATAATCTTCATTTAGAGCCTAGGTTAGAGTTACTAATTACGGTGACAGGAATGTCTTAATATTCAGATGATCAATGAGACTATAACCACACAGAGATGAAGTCAAGATTAATTATCTTGTCACAATTGCACAAAACAATGTCTGGCATATATAAAAGGACTCTGATTGTAAACATGTCCACTGCTGAAGAAATGAGGCAGTGGACACGAGGTGGATGACAGCAGTAGTCATAATATCATAGACGCGTATGTAAAATGTGCGCAGACATTTGGAGTGATAAAGATGGAATATGCAGGACTTACTGGTGCTACAGCCACCTCATTGATAAGGAAGTGGGAGAGACCAGCGGCCTTGCGGATGAGTCTCTCTTGACTTAGAAGATGACTACTGGGATTGCCAGGCTGGCGAGCAGACTCTGATTCCATGACCAGCTCTCGCTGCAGCGACAGGACACTACAGGCTGGAGAGGTACAGGAAAACCTGTGTGTTTAGGACTGCTGAACTTAGATCTACTGTCACTTGTTTACCTTCAAACAGCAATTTAAACTAACTATTTTTAAAAAAATTTATTATTCAAGCTTACATGTTCAGTATATTTTTCTTAAATAATAACCACAATGGTGAACCAAAACAGCACATAATACTGTTGGCATAACTTACCAATGATTGCATCAGAAATGAATACATGGAAAAGGCCGTTGCTGTAGAAGTTGAGCTCAAAAAGCGCAGGTACAGTTTGACTAGGTGCAATGGTAAACTCTCCATTGCGATTAGAACTGCTGGTCACATTGAGGCAGTTCCCCAGGAGGTGGAGAGCACGCATGACCACGTCCTCTGAGTTCCCCGAAAAGCCCAAGTCAAAGTCTCGTGACAGGATCTCCTCCTTCATGTTGAAGAAGTCTTCCACTAGCTTGGACAACACCACCCCCTGACACAAAATGAGCAGGAAAAAACAACAACAACAACATCAGAAACTTAAAAAAAAAAAGTATATTGGTGAATTTTAATAAGCCCACTTCAAAATAATAAAAGTCAAGAAACAAAGAAAAAAACTACAAAAGGGCTTTTGGGGTTGTATGCAGCACTGAGCAGTTGTCATGACATTAGTGTGTCTGTAGAGGGCAGAGTCTCACAATTAATGCAAGAGGCGATGAAAGAGAATGCAGGAAGAAATACAATTTTCTAACAGTGTTATCTATTCCTATATTTATGACTTAAGTGTCATGCCCAGGAAGGTGCATACCTGCTAAACGGAAGAGGAACAAGGGGAAAAAAAACAACATACCAGACAGGGTAATAATAGCAGGATTTTAAAAAATGTGAGCTGGTGTATCTGGCAGTGACAGAACACGAGGAGAGAGGAGGCAACAGCTACACATACCTGTCTGTGTCTATACAGCAGTAGACAGGCCACAATGTGGGTCGACATGATTGCTGACGATTTATTGGCCGCTATGAGGAGGAGATACAAAAGGGTATAATAAGCAACACACAACAGAAAGAGAACAAAAAAAGCAGAAGTAGCAGAAGTACTTGTAATTCATTGAGACACCCTTAAAGCAAGACTACAGTGCTGTAAGCCCCAAACTAAGCTGTGTTCAGTTCCTTTTTATATGTGTATATATGTGTATATATGTATAGCATCCAATCATAGCAGATATCAAGTCAGGAAAGTTTACAGAGTATTACAGAGACGATTCAACCTTGAGCGTGATTAAGTGTGGACAAAAAAAAAAAAAAAAAAGTCTTAACATAAAGAAGCCTCAGACAGAACCCAACTCAAGGTGGGTGGCTGTCTGATTTAATAGGCTGGGGAGAAAGGATGTAAAAAAGCTATATACCTGTGTTTTGTTATATATAATTTTAATTAATTCATCAGAGTTTGACTTACTACAAATAAAATATTAAATAGGCCTAAAAGAGCTGATTATATTGATAGCACTCAAAGGCAGAAAGAAAGAGTATGTGAGGGAGTGTGTAAAGACAAGGGTTACTACAGATCACCTAAAGTAGTAATCAAGCATAGAGGTGCAGGACATTTATGAACAGCTAAGCTGGTACTGCATTCTTCCCCCTCCCCTGTGCTTCCATCCTCCCCTTCACCTTATTGGCTAAAAACAACATGCCATCCAGCTGGTGGTTCTGTGATAGGCTGTTGGTTTAAAAAAAAAAAAAAAAAAAAGCTAGTGTAGGAGAATGCAGCTGAATGAGCTGGGGAGAACCGGTTTCTGGAGTGCTATCCCAGGGCAAAACACCCCGAGTGATGTAAAGCGGATGGACTGATGCTGTGCTGTATTTCATGAGTGCTGCCTTTGTGAGCAGGTGCACCTTTAGCACAGGATGAAAAGGAGACTTATGTGCTTATTTAAGGGACGGGTGCTTACTGAAGACTTTTAAATTATGATTCCTAGTCATCGTGCATGTAGTAAACCCACCATCTGCGGGTTGTGATTTTCTTACTAAAGAGAACGTGCTTGGCCAGGTTGTTGATAAGCTGTCGTCTAGAGATGTCCTCGGGCAGCTCTCTGTTCACCTGCTCTTCCTCCTGTCCATCAAACAGCTGAGCATCAGGCCTGGAAGGATAATAACAACAAGCCAATGTGTTTTTTACTGTGTCACACACAGTATGTATAATTTAAGATGGCAGTTGTCATGTCCAAACACACACCAGCTCATCTTTCACTCCTATTTTTGGGAGCTTGCAGTGTAACCCCCAATAATGTTAGAATATAATAATATTGGGTACTGTAAAATGTAATACACATTAGAATATACAACCACTACACGGGGATACAGTATTTAATACCCAAATAAACATAGACGAATAAATAGACAAAAGAGGAACAAAGTGGCATGAGAGTGCCCTGTGTCTGACTTCTCTACAAACAATCTGCCCCTGCTGTTAAAAAGTACTCAAGTTCAAGATCTCAAGTTAATAGCTTACCAATTATTTGTCATCATTTATCTAACGTGATCTCAGGGTGGTTATCTTACTCGTTTACTTCCTGGCTTTTGCCAAAGTCATTGCATGTCTCATCCATCCGTGCCATTAGCAAAACGTGATATGCCACTATTTCACGCGAGTGTTGAAAAGAGTCTTCCATAATATTTGTCTCCAAAGAGTTGAGAAGGTTGTTAATCACCACTGTTGGCACAAGTTTTGAAACTGACTGTAGACCAGCTGGGGCAGACTGCAGTCATCCCAGCGACAGTGCTTTATCGCTCGATTTTACTATGAAGAGACAGCTTTGAACTGATCTGACCCCTGCCAGGGCTAACTAACGACCCGTTCTCAAATGTCACAGAGCCTGCCATGAAGTAGCAGGAGGGAGGTATAGAGCTTGGACATGAAGATTGTCCAGGAAGGTCATGACATGTGAGACTATGGAGTGAGCGTGTGTGTATATTTGTACTAACTCTGCAGAAATAATGGTGGGCATCAAAGCATGTTCCAGAGATACAGGTGGTGGACTATGACGGCTTCTCTGGGTGTCCAAGTACTCCTATAATTGACATAAATGTGACATACGTATTCATAAATACATATTCAATATAAAAAACAAACATGGAAGATTTTCAGCTCTTTTTAGTGTGATTAATCACCTTCAGGGAGAAGGGCTGGTTGAAATCAACACGGACACAACCGTAGTTCTTCCTCAACATCCTGAACACACCACATGCTATTCCCCACCAGCTTTCGTTCTTCTTCGGCTTGCCCTAGAACAAGACAGATTTGAAAGTTACCAAAAATATAGCTATAAGGACACAGCTGAAGCAGTTTGTGTCAAAACATGCTTGGCTCTACCACCAGAAATACATACATTTTCTTCAGTCACAAATTCAAAATCCAACTAATTTATTTTTCTGTGTATTTTTCTTTTTCTGTGCATGATTAAAAAACAAAAAACAGAAACACCTTTGTTGCCACCGACGTCATCCAGACACTCACCAGCTGCTCACTATTGTAGTTTCCCTCAATAATGCGGTCATAGGAGATGCCAACTGGCACCACCAGCACGTCTCCGATGGCCCCCGTGCACATTGTGTCAACCACGATAGACAGCATGCCTGCACGTGCTGGAGATGGCTTACCACTGCGCGACCGAGTCCCCTCCAGAAAGACCTCCAAAAACTGCTGCTGCCGCAACAATTCCTCTGTGTACTACGACAATGACGAAACAGGGAAATGATCAGGTGAATACAAAAAAAGGTGTGTGTCAGACAAATGAGAAAATAATACATGTAAAGGTCGCAGTATTTTTGGTGAAAATGTAATTTGCTGACGTCCCGAAGCAGGAAATTCACTTAATTACAAGCTGACAGTCAAGTAAAGTCAAGGCCATGCCAGTGCTGTAGTAGGCAGGTTAAACATGAGACTCAAAGTGTAGGAAATCGGGTGCATGCTGAGGTAGCTTTGCTGTATAATGATATCCTCCTGAGTACAGTGTGTACACAGCTGTCTTAGCTATGCAGACACTTTTGAGAATAGAAGCTTTGTCCTGAAATAAACTCCAGGCCGTGGCATTCAAAGTAAGCCGGGACGTCTAGGTTCAGTTTTCATGGGAGCAACTGGAGTTAGAGCAGCATGTGACCTTTTTCTACAGCTTGCCTGTGAAAGCTAATTCCATTCTGGCAAGTGACACATGCGTGCCAGATTAAAATCTCACTTTTTAGCAAATTAAATTACTTTGACCACTTTGAATAATTACAGCTGCAACTTGTGCACTCTTTGACATGTGCAATAACACTAAGTGCAATACTCTTTTCTGGCGTCGTTGTATTTTTACTCAGTTGTATACAGCATTTGTATTTTATTTTTATTCTATTGTATATTTTATTCTATTTTATTCTACTGTATATATTGTGTTCTATTTTGTACAGTTGTGTACTGTATTTATTCTTATTGTATTCTAATTTTTGCTTCATAACTTTTGCACTGTCCACTTCCTGCTGTGACAAAACAAATTTCCCACGTGTGGGACTAATAAAGGTTATCTTATCTCATCTTAAGAAAAAGAGGTAAAATATGGTTTGTATAACAGGATTGAATTTCAGCTCATTTCTACTAGCTGCTCATGTCTTGGGCTGATAATTCTTATCCTAAGGACACAATACGAACCTATCTTACAAGCACAATACACTGTTACTTATTGCCAACCCCTTCTGAAGATACAAAGAAAATCTGCCACTCAGATCAACCCATGCAATTAAATAAACCACCTAAGTTTCCATGCTACTTTGTAGAAAACACACTGAAAATCTTCCAAGTAGTTTATGATGGCGAAACACTAACAAAAACCTATGAATCTGCAACACAAGCCTGAACATCTACTCGTCATGTGATACAGAAAAACCTATAATGACCAATACTGGGTTACAACTGGTAAATAAAAGGTTAGATGACGTATAAGCCGACCCAATATGTTTAGAGAGCAAAACCGTTGACACATGGGTCACTACAATAAAGGAAAGGAACATATCTACCCAAACATTTAGTTTGGGCTTACAAATGACAGGACTGTAGCAGAGTCAAAATAAGTTCTTTGGAAGATATAATGCTAATTACAAAGTAAAACTGGAAACAAAGACAAGGCTTAAATAACAAAAACATTTCACTCTCTCATTATTCAATAGAAAAGAACACACAGAGCAGAAAACATGAAGAAAACCCGCTCTGCAGACTTACTGCATGCAAAAGAGATCGGTACAAAATGTCTTTCTTTCCATCTGCAGACTCTTCCATTCTTCGTCGTATGAAGAAACCTCCAAGTTTACGGATCAGGGTGCTGAAAACAAAGAAGTTTTATAAAGTAGTTTCCAAGCTTTTCAATGGGCAGCAACAGCGAGCACAAACTCCACAGCTGTCAGCAAATACAGTTTTAATCAGTGATTTCCTCAAGGTACTAATTTGGATTAAGGTGTGACTATGATGAAAAAGGAGGACAGTTTGATACCGAAGCACTTAAAATATAAAGATGACTCATCCTGACACTTCAGGGACCCATGTTGTAAATACCCATGTAGTACAAAAGGATCAGTGCTGAACCAAATGCTAGTTGAAGCAGGATAAAAAAAAAAAGATTTAACTATCGAACATATTTCCAGGGAATTCTTTATTGTTTGAGTTAAACATACACCTTATTTCCAGATCAATCTTCACACAAGGCCTCATGTTTACCTGAGGATGGGGATGCTTAAGTTGTTTCCAGCAGCGATGTGCGGGGCTTTGATGTTATGACAGAACAGAATCAACGTGATGAGCAGGTAGTCGATGTGGGATTTGTGAACTGGGAGGAAGACCATCGGCACATTTTGCTGCAAAGAAAAGAGAAATAAGCAATTTCTCCTAACACGTTTTTAAGAACTCTGTATGTGATCAATGTTGAGAACTTTTATTATCTACGAGAAATGTACAATGACAGAAAACACCTTGTAAATATTACAAGCAAGAAAATAAACACTCAGCTAAACAGCCAGTTTATTAGGTACACTTGTTCAACTGCTTGTTAACTCACAAGTCCAATCAGCCAATCCCAATAACTGCCCAGGAACTGAATGCATTTAGGTGTGTAAACACAGCCATGATGAACTGCTGAGGTTTAAACCGAGCATCAGAATGGGGAAGAAAGGTCATTTAAGTGATTTTGAACGTGGCTTGAGTGTTGCTGCCAGATGAGCTGATCTAAGTATTTCAGACACTGCTGATCTACTGGGATTTTCCTGTAAAGGAGAAAACATCCAGCAGTTCTTTGAGTAAGAATACCTTGGTGAAGTCAGAGGCCAGAGAAAAATGAGCAGACTGCTTTGAGTTGAACTGAACACTTGATTACTGCTGCAAGATTTGGATGGTAAGGTCAAAATCAGACATAAACAACATAAGGTAGGGATCCATCCTGCATTGTTCGGGCTAATGGTGGTGGGGCAAATTTTCGTAGCAAACTTAAGATCCCATAGTAGAAAATGAGCATCATTTAAACACTAGAACCTAGCTCCGAGTATTGCTACTCATCATACCCATCCCTTTATTGCCGCACTGTACCCATCTTCCAGTGTGAATATCATGCCATGTAACAAAGCTTAAATGATCTCAAACTGGTTTCCTGAACATGACAGCAAGTTCACTATACTCAAATGGCCTCAACAGTCACCAGATCTCAATCAAATGAAGCACCTTTGCAGAGTCGTGGAACGACAGATTTGTATCTCAGATGTGCAGCCAAAAAATCTGCAGCATGATGTTATCATGTCAACACTGTTCAAAATCTGAATCTGTGCCACAGAGAATTAAAGCAGTACTGAAGTCAAAAGGGGCTCCAACCTGGTACTAGCATGGTGTACCTAATAAAGTGGAGTGTATATTTAGTGCTAGTTTATGTATATTTACAACTATCAATCATTTACATTCATAAAGCCTCTTCAGTGGTCAGAAATAAAGGCTGCTTCGCTAGTTAATCAAGACACAGCAAGCAGTGAAGAAGACTATGTACATTAAATACTACATCAGCTTTATCGGTTCACAAACTACAAGCCTAAAACCCCCCACTCCACTGACGACTTGCTCTTAGCCAACACCCTTAACGACTTCTACTGCCGTTTTGACGAGCCATCAGGCAGCCTTCACACCTCCAACGACCCCAACAATAGAGGCACTTTGGACACTCATTCCCCCACCTCTCCCCCCTCCATAGAGCCATCACCGCCTTCAAACTGTTCACCTGCAACACCCCCCCTCCTCACCCCACACAAAAGAGGATTTCACACCACCTCCTCCGACCACAACTCTTCATATTCATGAAGCAGATGTGAGGAAGCAGTTTAGGAGTCTGAATGCTCGAAAAGCTCCCGGCCCAGACGGTGTGTCTCCTGCCACCCTCAGACACTGTGCAAACGAGCTGGCCCCAGTGTTTTCTGGCATCTTCAACTCCTCACTGCAGGCATGTCATGTGCCTGCCTGCTTCAAGTCCTCTACCATAATCCCTGTCCCCAAGAAACCTAGGATCACTGGACTAAATGACTACAGACCCGTGGCTCTGACATCTGTGGTCATGAAGTCATTTGAGCGCCTGGTTCTCTCCCATCTCAAGACCCTCACCGCCCCCCTCCTGGACCCCTTGCAGTTTGCATATAGAGCCAACAGGTCTGTAGACGACGCCATCAACATGGCCCTACACTACATCCTGCAGCATCTGGACTCCCCAGGAACCTACGCCAGGATCCTGTTTGTGGACTTCAGCTCTGCCTTCAACACCATCCTTCCAGACCATCTCCGAGGCAAGCTTTCCCAGATGAATGTGCCTGATCCCATCTGCCGGTGGATCACTGACTTCCTGACGGACAGGAAGCAGCACGTGAGGCTGGGAAAGAATGTCTCGGACTCCCGGACCATCAGCACTGGCTCCCCTCAGGGCTGTGTTCTTTCTCCTCTGCTCTTCTCCCTGTACACCAACTGCTGCACCTCCACCCACCAGTCTGTCAAGCTAATCAAGTTCGCAGATGACACCACCGTCATTGGGCTCATCTCGGACGGGGACGAGTCTGCCTACAGGAGGGAGGTTGAACGTCTGGTGTCCTGGTGCAGCCACAACAACCTGGTGCTGAATGCCCAGAAGACAGTGGAGATTATTGTGGACTTCAGGAAGCACACAGCCCCACTCCCCCCCATCATCCTGACTGACACCCCCATCACCTCTGTGGACTCATTCCGCTTCCTGGGTACCACCATCACCCAGGACCTGAAGTGGGAGCCCACCATCACCTCCGTCATCAAGAAAGCCCAGCAGAGGATGTACTTCCTGAGGCAGCTGAAGAAATTCAACCTGCCAACACGGACGATGATGCAGTTCTACACTGCAATCATCGAGTCCATCCTCACCTCCTCCATCACCGTGTGGTACGCTGGAGCCACTATCAGGGACAAACAGAGACTGCAGCGTGTTGTGCGCTCTGCTGAGAAGGTGATTGGCTGCAGACTCCCATCTCTGCAGGACCTGTACACCTCCAGGACACTGCGGCGTGCAGCCCGGATCTCAGCTGACCCTTCTCACCCTGGACACAGTCTGTTTGACCTGCTCCCCTCAGGCAGGAGGCTCCGGTCCATTCGCACCAGAACCTCTCGCCATAAGAACAGTTTCTTCCCCTCTGCTGTTGGACACATGAACAATAACCACATGACTGTCCCCGCCACTAACACATGACCCTACGCTGTGTCACTGCATCATTTCATGTTTGGCACTGATCACCACCTGCACTCATGTATATATCTTTCTACGTAGCACTCATAATTCTTATTCTCATGTATATCTCATGCACATATCTTTCTTTCTACATAGCACTTTAATTCTTATGTTTGCACTGAAGCACCGCAGCAATTTCCTAATGTTGTAAACCTCAACATCTGGCAATAAACCCCATTCTGATTCTGATTCTGATTAGCCGTTACCGTTTTCAGCAATCAGAAACAAGTTTTCAATATTAATGGAAAAAACAGTCTTACTCATTTTGGGGAGCAGATTGTGCTGAGACAGTTTATCATGTGTGTCTTTGCCCCTCACCTCTGTAGCAGCTTTCTTCACCATTTCCAGCTGTCCTTTGTGGATCTGGATGCTCCAGAAGAAGCCATTAAACAGCCTCAAAAGCACCCAACCAGTTAGCCTAATCCAAAAGAAAAATTAAGATGTAGAACAGAACACAACATAGCAGGATTGCTTAAGGCATTACAATATTGTCATAAACTAAAAAGTATAAATACCTAATGAAGGCTGGGGAAATGTTAGCAACCATCTCTTGGAGGAAGGCCCTGGCTTTCTGCTTTACTTTGCTGACAGCTTTGTGCTCCTGGCCAGGCTGGCTGGCTGCAGCATCCAAGTCTGTTGCTACTGTCACAATAGCATCCTCCACCCTGCAATCAACAAAAGAAGAACACAAACATAAAGCTGCCTCTTCTAACATTCAACGCATTGTCTCCATTTCTCTAATAAAATGGTTTCTTTATGTCCACCATATCACAAATTTATCTATGATTGGAAAATAAAGTTTGATGTGGGCTGAATTTCCTGTATCCTGACTTTTACCTGCTGTTGTTGAGTACGTTATCCACCATGTTCCTGGTGAACATGTCCTTGTGGACATCTCTCTCCACAACGAAAAGCACATAACTCAGTCTGCGTGCCAGCCAGCCCCGCTGTCTAGATGAGCACACACAGAAAAACGCTTGCATAAAACCACATAAACGATACATATTTACATACGAGAAGAGATTCTCAAATATACTCAGATAAATGCTGTAAGCTGTGTTATAAACATGAGCCTTGCTTTTCGCACAAAAACACATAAGTTAAATATACGAATCAACATCCAGATAAGGGACAGTCAGGAATACTTGCACGACTTTTCATGGTAATATCACATTTCCAGGAACTGCAGAACAATGCATAACCTGCATAACCCAAACACACAGCTTCATCATCAACAGCTGTGTTACAGGTCAGGTTTGCTATACCTTGATGAGCTTTCATGTAACATAATACTGACTGTGTCAGGACAAAGCAAACGATGCTAACCCAACCATGCTGAGTACGGTACATCACCATCTCTGTTTCCATGCTAATAGAACTAGATATTAACTTATTTCTGTTTTTCCCCATTCGGTTTGGAGCATGGTGGCATATATCTTACTGAGTATTGTCAACAAAAGCCAGCCACTGGGTGCATGTGTCTGGTGTCCACTGACAAACACTGTAAATTATTCATCTGTCGACCTTTCCACAATTTCAGAGAGTCATCCTCTTGACTTAAATCCAGTTATTTTACACTGGTTGTTAAGAATTTCACCCTAAATCTGAACTGCATTCAATGGGACTGATTGGAGATCAGAGGACTGACAAGGCAAGTAGAGACTTTCCTGTTCTGCCAAAGCACGACGTGAAGTTTCAGTTGAAGAATGTTCCTAAAGTGGAAGGGAAGTGAAAAGCTCCGTTTACCTAGTGTGGGTCTCGTTTATGTAGATGACGTTTCGCAGACCCAGAGATGGAATACTGGGATTGAACAGTCTCTCCTGTAAGGAACAAAAAAGATAAAAAAATGAGAAAGTAACTCGAATCAGTTTTGTTTCGCGTTACTTTACAGCTTGTTATGCTTTAATTCTCGTTAAGAAAATAAATTTAACTAGAATTGAACCTTTTAACAGCTAATTTTTTATATTACTGCACTAAACTCAATAATGAGGTGTTTTAAGAATTGCTTTATGTCTAAAAAAAAACATTCCTTGAAAATGCCTTGCAACCACTTTTCAGATTTTCACCTTTATCATATAAACACAGGAAGACAACCTGAGATCCACATATCATTTAATTAGCAAATTAAATAATCAAATTAGATCTGAATAAATTATATGAATAATAATGACTTATCTAAAATTATTTTTAATTATGATTTTTTTAAGAGGACTGCTTGTTTTTTCGAACAGCCAGGATAGATCGAGTTAGCAGGAACTATTCGATTCCATGCTGGCCAATTTCTTTACAAAAGACCAGAAATCAGCAAATGAACTCAAGCCACAGTTAATTAGCCGTGATGTAATTTTACCCAGCTCTGTGGTGTACAGGAGTGACAGCAGCGCCCCACAAAGGGCCTCTTTCTGTTCAGCAGACCCTCCTTCCACGTGCTGGCGACATTACGCAGGACTGAAGGGCTGGTGCTGCGGTCCTTGAAATGCATAAAAAAAAAGATTGATCAGGAAGAAGCAAAAGCATCACATGAAAGGACCATGTGTGCTGATATGAGATTTATCGCCTTTGATCTTGGGGGGGATGCATGGAGCTGTTCTGAATGTACAATGAAAATTACAACAACAACAAAAAGAAAACAAATTAATTGTGGCTTACCGAGTCTTCATTGGGATGTTTCCAGCGGTTACACCACTGCTCTCCATTGCTGACCTGCAGCAGCAAGCCATCTGACAGCTCCATGCTCTCTGCTGTCTCCTTCCTCTCCCTCCTGGTCACACACCACTAGCTGGCAAGCTGACAGCACACACAAATACAATACAGTTATATTTTTTTTAATTTAAGTGATCAATAAATATTAGTGAGTAGCACAAAGAAAATGCACAGAGTTTAAATCTAGCTGGTGGAAAAATACAACACTCACTGCAGCAATGTATTAAGCTACAGTGGGCGACATAGCTTATATCGCCTTCACAAGCAGCCTCTGCTCAGCATTTTGACTGCATGAGCAATGATGGTGAACAACCAGATGTTAACAGCTTCCTTTCAACTTTAAAACCAAAAGTCAGCACCTCCCACATGAGGCATCGCTGTGCTATTCAGATTCAGTCAACGCTGGCATGCTCCGGTTAGACCTGATTTTCTAAGAAAAGTCGGAAGTCATACTGGAAAAACCAACAAGATGCAGCAGATAATAATGTATATTAATCACCCCAACATCTCAGACTGAATGCAGTCTGGTGGGACTAGTTAACAGAGAAGTCAAAGTTTTACTTCTTTAACTGATATGCGAGTAAGCCATTTTAAATAGCAGTGTGACCACAGATAGGGCAAAGACTTCCTCATTTTAGAAAACACAAACATTTTCAAACACCAAACAATGCACTTCTAAAGATGTTAATTAAGATCATCATCTGCCCTCAAGACACAGCTGTCGTACTCAACTCCAGCTGACAAGAACCTTAAATTAAATGCACAAACTCAGATATATGCAGCCAAACTACGCTGCTCTTTTTTTGGTTTAGCTTAATGCACACATTAAATATTTGACAATGGAAAAAAACAAATAACAGAACCAAATAAAGCTTTTACTTTGGGAAGCAGCAGGTTTATGGCACAGAAAAATTATCATTTTATCAAAAGGCCCGCAGTTAGATTGAGTAACAACATCAACTACTATGTACGCATTTATTGGCTGAACAGTGCTATCTGACAAGTCACCAGTTCACCATGATTTCTGGCAGAGGCCCATTGGCAAACAACAACAAAACAAAAGTAAAACGCAAGTATTGCCCAAGCTGACATTTTAACATGAGTATCAGCTCACGGTTACACAGCTGGAGCGTCCCTATCAGTCACTATGTAGAAATGGTCACTACACAAAATAGCAATCTAAAAATAACATAATGGGAAGCTTTTGTTTGGCATTTTAAACATAATTTGTCTAATGTGCCTCAAATGACACTTTGCTTTTGTTACACACCAGTTGCCCTGCATAACACTGGTAAGCGTCCTGAAACAAAGTCAAAATTTACACTAAACACACAATGCTGGAGGATTTTACAATGAACCAAACATAGCATAACCACTGAACCTTCCTGAAGAAACAAGGTAAGGGGATAGCTAGACATCAGTAAGGAAAGAGAGAAGATGTGAAGAGAACGCACAAAGGTAATTAAGAGAATGTCTCTGATTAGCCTGGAAATGAGTCAATTTATGAATGAATGCTTACACAGACTGTACAGTACGTGTGTCAGTTAAGGACACTGTCGGTCCATCTTTCTCTGAATAATACGTCTGACTGTCAGCAGACTGGCCTCTTCACAAAAATGTTCCTGCCTAACAAGCTTCAATGAATGAATGAACATTGTGACATTGTCCTCCTGTGGTGTCATGGTTGTAGTGGGTGATGTGCACACAGATGAGGGAAGCAGAGATTTCAAAGGGGTCAACGGCCGAGAGTACTCCAGAAAAACAAAGACCTCCAAGAATGAGGAGCTTGAGGGAATTAGATAACAAGTGAAGGTAGCCCTTACACTGCATTAAAGTTTAATGAGTACACGGATAATAACATTCAACGTATGCAAATCCTATAAACTAATTTGAATAATTTTCATGGGATATATCTACATTAGTTTGTAGCAACTTCCACTATCTGTTATAACGTTGTTAAATATTTGATTCAATCAGTAATTTCAAAATGAAGTATCATCAAGAAATTATTTTAAAAAAAAAAACAACACGCTGAGGCGCTACTATCGGGACACTGGCAAAGTATGGCCTGGGCCATCTGCCACACAATCACGTTTTATTTACCTTTAGCAAAATCATGCCTGTTCATGCACACTGAAAACCACTGGGTTAATCCGGCAGACAGGCTCAGACCTGCCTTGCAATAAGCAGGTCAAACAGGAGAGGTCTCTTTGTGACAGATGGTCAGTTCAGATAACTAGCTGATCAGACAACAATAGCACCAACCAGCCATGCCCATGTCTAGCTTGGCCGCGGAAACGCGGTACTGTTCAGTTACAGCCGACACCTCCTAGAAAGACATTATTAAAAAGTCTCCAGTTTGTGCATTTGGATGGTGTTGCGTAAAGTTATTAAAACGTGATGTGAGCAGCTTCCGTGACCGTCTGTGGCACGCTGCATGGCATGCTTCCGAGCTTCATGAGGCACATCTCATCTTACAGCTAACGCCGGTACTCACGATGGTCTCCAAGACAGGGGTGACTTTAACCTGTTCTCCACTCGATGTCTTAATCTAGTCTGAATCTTAAATGATTAGCATTAGCCCGGTTTACCTCAGTGCGGATGAGACATGGAAAAATGTCAAATCCTACACTGCCGGGGGTCGTCTCGAACTCAATGTCAGTGTAAAGTTGACCGACTATGTCGTGTTTTAAGGTGGAAAACGGCTCTAAATGATAAGTAATTATCTCTCACAACCGTGTCAACAAGTCCATATTAACGACACAGTTACTGTTTCTATGACAGGACAGGACCGGCGTTAGTAATAGTTACTAATAATGCAACGATGTAGCTGTTAGCATTAGCTCTCCAGCCACGCTCGCGAGAATGGACTCTCACTTACCTTGACAACAGTGTTACGCTGAGTCATATCTAAAATGTAAGCTTATCGACAAACAGCCGGCCGCTGAGTATTTCGGTACGCTTCTTTTGTAACACACTAGCTCCACTGTCCTTGGTACACCGGACAACACAGCTCTGACACTCGGGGATGTGTGACAGGAGGGAGGACCACTTGCGGTGGTTTTGTTTTGGTACAAGCAGCGGCGCCGCTCTGCCACCAGCCAGAAGAGGGCAGCACGACGCCACTTTGACCACTTTGCGTTGCAATTTGACAACATTAAACACTTAATATAAAGGTCCGTTAGTATTTCTATTTTTTTGTCCATTTTTTATTTGATGTGGAAATGTGTCATCTTGACAAAGCTTTTTTATTTTTTCTTTTAAAGCTGTTTTTAAAATGCAGTCTTTGAAACATTGGGTTAACGCGCCCTCCAGTGGGCGGATTGATACAAGCATTTTATCGGACCGTACCACTGTGCTACATCAATAGGGTTACTGTGGCTTATTTTAAGACGCAGTAAACCAAAGCCAAAAGATTAAGATGATTAATTATTTGGTATTAATTATTAGTTAATATTTAACTATTCTGTCACTTCATAAACATTGGCTGTATTTACATTTCTATATATTACAGCCACAGTTGTCTCACCCATGGCAATGGCTATAATGGTAGTGTCACAAACGTTCTATTTCCTTCGTTTCTATCAAGCTAGCAGCAGCCATGAGGTAAGCTGTATATTTGAAATTTAATTAAGCTTTTCATTTCCAAGCAGAGTGCAGGAAGTGTTAGAGATTCTTTTTATTTAAAACAGCGGGGAGAACTGTCTAGATGACTTTGAGTGAATTCGCTCATTTCTACCAGAATGCGTTGATGGCCTTTGTTGGTAAGCAAACCGTGCTAATATAGTGAGACATGTCACAACATGTTAGAAGACAGCCCGTCTACTGAGCCAGGCATCAGCTGTAAAGACTGCAGTGTTTTGATTTTTTTTCAACAAGCTGACGAATGGATTGAGTGAAATAAAACAGATTTAATAATGAAAGTCAATTATCTCGGCAAGGTAGAGGTGTTACTTGTTGTCATGTGTTTTGGTACTTGGGCTACAGTCTTCTTCTCCCAAGTGGAAAACCAACCAGTAAACAAACAAGTTTACTGCACATCTAAAAGTCAGCAAATGACGTTTCAATCTTTTAGAGCCTTTCATCAAAAAACACTCAAATGGGAGTTCAGTAGCTGATTTGTCCATTTATGTAACAGTTAGTTTATGACACTCGAAGAAAATAATTTAAATGATATATTGGCGTTAGGCGCTCAACTGGTCAAGGTCACACCTTCTTGTATAGGCATAAAAAATTAGGTATGAAGTAAAAATGGCTTATGAACACAATCGAGAGTGCTTTTTAATTGAATGGTGATGGGTAGGCAAAGTTTATTCCATCCTAACAAATAAGATTGTACTACAGAAACGTAGAATGTGACATATTTTTTTCATGTATGTTTTCTGTAACTGCCAGGGTGAATTAGTAATAGAATTATAATTTCTATTACTAAACTAGATTAAACTAAATCAAATGATACGCTTCTTCTTGCTGTAATATTGGGGGTTTTGTTTGTTTGTTTGTTTGTTTTTAATTTAGTTTAATAAAAACTATTTCCAACAGTGCTTATATAATGATTTTGCTCTCCCAGCATGCTCAGGCTCCAGAAGCGCTTGGCCTCCAGTGTCTTGCGCTGTGGTAAAAAGAAAGTGTGGCTGGACCCCAACGAGACCAATGAGATTGCCAACGCAAACTCTCGTGAGTTGTTTCCTTTGTGGATTTATGTAGTAGGCTCTGGGCTCCTTAAATTTACGCTTTTATTTAAATGAATTTTATTTGGGCCACAGGCCAGCAGATACGAAAACTGGTAAAGGATGGACTGATCATCAGAAAACCTGTGACTGTTCATTCCCGTGCACGCTGCCGCAAGAACACACTGGCACGCCGCAAGGGACGTCACACGGGTTATGGTGAGTAGTTAGGTTATTGTTATCTTTCCCCAAATTTGCTTTCACTAATAATGTGGCTAATAATTGCGTATTTGGGAAAATAAAATCAAGCGGTGTGTACATGTTAAGGACTGCTTATAGAAACTGCAACTAGTGGTGGTTTCAGTATGAACTTGGAGTAAGATAAGAGTTTTATTTCAGTAATATAATTTTCTTTCCAGGTAAGAGAAAGGGCACGGCCAATGCTCGTATGCCGGAGAAGTTGTCATGGATGCGGCGCATGAGAATTCTGCGACGTCTTCTTCGTCGCTACAGGGAGTCCAAAAAAATTGACAGGCACATGTAAGAGTGAATGTCATCACTGATGTACTCACTGATCATGAATAAGGTTTTATGTCAGTTTCATTGATAGATGAGTAATGTTTTGTGTCTTCTAGGTACCACAGTCTCTACCTAAGAGCCAAGGGTAATGTCTTCAAAAACAAACGCATCCTTATGGAGCACATCCACAAATTAAAGGCTGACAAGGCTCGCAAGAAGCTCCTGGCGTACGTTTCCACTTCTTCTTTTCTTGTATTATTTCACTCCAAGCGCAGCAACATTTATACACTGAAATGAATTTGTTTCTGTCCTGCAGTGACCAAGCCGAGGCCCGGCGCACAAAGACAAGAGAAGCCCGCAAACGCAGAGAAGAGCGTCTCCAGGCCAAGAAAGAAGAGATCATCAAGAACTTATCAAAGGAGGAGGAAACTACAAAAAAGTGAATCTAAAATGTATTAAAATCTTGTGAGGATCAGCTTTTGGTTGTGAATAAATGTGGATAAGAGAAAATATCATCAGTAATGTTCTTGCCTTGATATTAACAATGATTTGACATGAAAAGAGTACTTTGGAAAACATTTCATTTTGATTATGATTTATATATACCTGAATAAACAGAGGTGAGAGAAGCCCTTTTCTTCTTTTAACATGGCCATATATATTGTAATATTGCTATGAAAAGACAGCAAACTATGCTTCTGAGGTAATGTTCTGAACACTACAAAAGGTGGCAGCAGAGTGCCAAATACATCTACGTGTATGTCTACTTATTTTAGCCAGAGGAAATTAAACTAGAAAGAGAACTGGTAAAAAAAAAAAAAAAAGTCATTTTCAATCAGCAACTTGATCACACAGCACAGTATTCCTCACTGGTATTATTAAAAATGGTAGATAAGCAACTTGGTAACAAACAAAGATCTTCCACTTTTTCCACATATAGCTTATAGTTCAATTTGTGTTCATTCAGCAAAAGCACTGCAAGCATTTGTGCATTTTTAGGAAGGTAGAGGTAGCAACAATTTAGCTGCTGTTAAATTACATATTTTATAAGGGAACATTTATAAATATAATAGTAACTTCCTTGCTGAGGCAAACGTTCTCGAGTCATATTCATCCTTAGAGTATGGGCATCTGAAGCTTGGGTTGGATGCCATGCAGACTCGGCTGATAGTGAGGAGCAGTGTTACGTAACAGGAAGCTCTCACCATACTGGATTTTTCTGAAGATGGCCTGTAAGGAATGTGTTCACATTAACTGGCTGTAGTTCTATAACAAAATCTATTAACTTTGTAAAGCAACTCATGCATTATTAAATACTCAATGGTCTGCTCCGTAAAAGCTTCTTATTTTAAATTATTTTCCTGCTTCGTTTTTCCTGAAAGCAGGCACCAAAGTAGCAGAAGCTCAGACAACCACCGTTAGCCCCATTAAACCTGTGCTACTGACACTCCAGACATCCACTTATTTCTTGCTTGAGCCTTGAAGGATTTCATTTTTCATGCATGCAGAAGAAGGTGTGACTGAAGTGTACAGATGCATCCTGTGGTAACTGGGACAGACAGGCTGCTGCTGTGCTGTGCAAGTGTGTGTGCATGAGAGAAAGGGGAGTTTTTACTATCCAAAGCACACTCAGCATTTCAGATCATTTTAAATACAGCAATCTGGAAAACAAAAAATAATCCCTGTACACTTTATTGGAATGTAAACTCGTCACTTACAATTTTCTGCCACCTCCTCCTTATTCTTAAGCTGCTATGTCTGTGACTGACAGTCATGCATAAACAATGGGACACTCAAGCTTTTGAAGCTGGCAGTGAAGAGCCCTCACATCTACAGTCTGGGTTTCAAAGGCCTTGAGTAGCTGGAATTAAGGTTTTTATACAGCATAACTCACTTGCTTACCTTGATATCCTGGTTTAATTTTCTCACAAAGCAGTGTTATGCACAACACTTTCGCTTAAAATGCACTTCAGCTGTATGCGGTCATTACCAAATTGCTCCGCACAGTCAAAACGATCTTTATAAATAAACGGGAGCTCTGCAGGAATATGTCGCAGGGATTACTGAAGGAGAAAACAGCCTTTGTACAGCCATTTTGCAGCTCCGTTAATGTATTTCTTCATTACCAGGAGGCACTCCTATTTCCTGAAGCGTGAGCCTTAATGGGATTAGATAAGGAGAGGAATATGAGCTGAAACCAAGCAGCACTCTTTATTACAGTTGGCCTTCAACCCAGGCAAAACAAATGGAGCACACTCAAGAGTTCAGGAGGGCTTTCATAACAAATGAAGTGAGGAGATGAAAGTGATTAAAGTAAGATTATTTTAAAATATAAAAACAGTTATCTAACGACTAAACAAATTACTTTGCTTTCGCCTGTTTGATTACCCTCTTTCCACCGTCTGTAGGACTGGTTCTCTTCTTTGCTGCATACTAAACTGTCGGTCAGCCTCTGTATCACATAGACAATGACTGTTAGTCCACACATTAACACTGTCACATATAAAATGTTCGAGTCATCGTCTTTTTAATCCTTTTCAACATTATTTTTTATTTTCTCTTCCCACATGTTCAGTGGACTCTATTACCTAATCACTCTGGTTTATAGACTGACAGAGACACAAAGCACGAGGGAAGAATTCAGGAGCTGTAATTCTCTCATTCTCGTTCGCTGACTGATAGGAGGGATTACTGTAACAGTGCTCACTGATATAGATCAATCAGACAGGCAGTCGCTCTGATCTTATACAGATACGCCTCAGGCCTGTCTTCTTAACACCAGGGGTTGCTCTTTTACGCTTTCACACTGCCGCACACTCATTTAGTGACATCCAGACAAAGCTCAATGTCAAAATGCACCAGGAATCAAAGAAATTGCAATATAATATGACGAGAGTGATTGTGCTGATGA